GTTTTGTTTTGTTTTTTTGTTTTGGTTGTTTTTTGTAAAACTGTAAATTTGAAAATTCATGGATAATAACTATAATAATATTTTATCGTTAATAATATAATTTCAATTAGAGCTTGCACGTGCAAGTAGATTAACCATCGCAGAAACAAAAATATAATTATTATCTTGGTAATTATCAGTACAGTACACATATATATTAATGTTTAAATGTTTCGTGGTGGTTGTACTTGCTTTTACTTAAATGTGCTACTTTAAAGAAAATGATTTTAATTTGATTTGCATATTTGCAGACATTTAGTATATTTACATTTGACATTAATCCACAGCATAATATTGTGTCAGCCCCACCCCACCCCACTACACACACACACACACATATTATTTATTTATTTATTTATTTATTTATTTATTTAAATTAATTCCAGCTCCTGGCCGGACGAAGGAGACGCTCGATTGAATCGACGATCTTCTACTTGAGTCTGCTTTGGGTGCTTCCTGTTTCAAAGTCCATCTGAGGGAACAGCAAAAACAGCAAATCTAACTGGAGATGGTGTTGGCCTAATAGACTTTCTTATAAATCTAGCAGCGCTTCGACAGAGCGGAGCAGACATGCAGCGGTCTCTGGAGTCTCTGGTGCAGCTGCTGGAGTCCTACAGAGGCAGAGATAAAGTCGTGAGTATTCACTCGGTCACATTGTATCTGTTTAAAGTGTTTCACTCGGTATAAGCCATTAATAAAAACAGTGGTTACACGCTTACAAAGTGGATGCCAAGTGGAGACTGATATGTAAGTACTAGACTGTGGTTCTATAGAAACTGCTCATATTTGCTGTTGTTACTTTACTTAAGAGCAATGAGCAAACATGCTCTGCGTTAGTTAAAATTAAAGCATCAGCTAGTAATGTATGTCTGCCTGAAGTCCACACATTCACTGAATCTCTGACAATAAAATGTCCTTTCTGATTTAAAATAATAACAATAAAAAGCTACCCACAAGTCTCTGTTCGTCTTCTTTGCAGATCAGGACAGTGTGTTATGGATCCCAGCTGGTTGGAGGAGTTCTTTCCCGGAGAGCAGAGGCAGATGTCCGGTCCCAGCGGCTCGGGAAAAGCCTGCTGCTGTTTTCTGCTCAGCTCAGTCACTGCAGGACGGTGCTCAGGTTGTTCGATGACCTCTCCATGCTGGCCTACTCCCACAGCTACGGGTTTGGAAATGGGGTGATTCACACAGCGTATGCACTGCATCACTCTGTGCTAGCCTGTAAATCCCACTGTAACGCTTGTTGCACGTCTTTCCAAGGAGGAGGACGCGGCCGTGCGCTGGATATCCGTGCTGAACAACGTGGCGGACCAGCTGTACTACCCCTGTGAACACATCGCCTGGGCCGCCGACGCCGAGCTCATCAGAGTGAAGTCCGATAAGTGGTGGCTGTTCAGCACAGTGCTCTGGGGAACCTCGCTGCTGCTGGGAATCCTCAGGTGAGATCACCTGTTCACATCCATACATTACTTTAGTAATGCTGCCTTTATGGCATGCTTTTCTTATTTTTGTTTTTTAAAGGCCAGAAAGAAGGAGTCTTGTGTAGTTTTTCTGCAGCTGTAAATGTAACATATGCAGGACATCTGCTGGCCAGAGCTCCTTTAAAGAACATGCATAGACAAACAGCCCGTATCTGTCTCTCTGTGTTAGCCCTTTTTCTGGTCAATTTGTGCCCTTTTTCAAATCCATAAATCTTCAGTGGGAACTGAAAGGGGAGGGGGATGTGAGAGGAAAGTCAGAGAGAGATTAAGTCAAGCACTTCTACGTTCTACTTACATAATGACCAGAAACTCCTTCTGTCCCTACAACCACAACCTTCCACGGCACAGTCATTGTGATATGCGTCAACCCAACATGTAGTTTCTGTAGCATTTCTCTGGGTGTGCGCGTCAGGTTAAATTGAATTACATTATGGAAAATCAATAATGATGCCGGGTTAATTTCATTATCCCATCTCTTTTTTTCCTCAGCTTAGAGCTTTGTTTATTTTCCAGACCCTCTTTCTTTTTTATCTCATCTGTTATTTCATGCAGTTTTAGAGAAACCTGTGAAAAAGAGCACTGAGCACTGAAGCAGACATCAAACCCTTGCAGTGTGAGTTGATGTACGATGTGAATCATTTGTCCTCTAGATCGCTCCGAGTTCTTCTGCTGCTGAGGAAGAAGCTGAAGAAGAGGCACGAAGGCAGAAACAGGTATTTGATTCAGTTTTCTTTCTGTTGTCTCGTGTGTTTCTAAGCACAGTTACAGTAACACAGAGAGGGACTGACCGGTTATGAAAGGTTAAACCGCACGTTTTCTCCTGCAGTCGCTCTCAGCTCCGCCGGCAGATGCGAGGGGAGCTGCTGTCCATCCTCAGCAGCATGGCTGACCTCAGTAACGCCATTCACTGGATGCCGCCCGGCTTCCTGTGGGCAGGACGTTTCCCTAACTGGCTGGTGGGACTGATGGGCACCACGTCCTCTCTGATTGGTTTGATCCAGATGAATGCCGGTAGCGGTGATCAGTCAGACACTACACAGTCTTCACCAGAGTGAGGAAGAGACACTAAATCCACACTAAACGACTGACGGATGTATGGATAATAGTGGAAAATGATTAGACTCCAGTCAGACTGTCTGTGGAGATTAACTGCAGTCCTGTAGCTTGTAGCAACAAGCACATAAATTAAATTGTGGCCTATTACTGCTTTAAAAGCAAAAAAAAAAAGGTCACTGCACTTGTGCTTAATTAGGAGTAATTAAAGATCTCTTGATGAATTTGCCAACCGTTATTCAATTTAGTAGCTTTTGATTTACACTTGGACATTTTAGTCATGAGAATTATCATTAAGCTCTACTGTTCATTTCACTACACTAAACATGTTCAGCAGTAAATTCAAGCCCTAACGACCCTGAGGTCAACAAGAGGGAACTTCTGCTGTAAAACCTTTTTCTTTGTCTTTTGTTTTTAATGATTTTGTCTAAAGAATCATCAAAAGAGAAGAAAGGTCAGGCAGGTCACAGTTTGATTCTTGAGGAAACACCAGTGATAACATAGCCTTAAAGTTCCTGTTTAATGGTCAGCTTCACTCTGGAATACGTCCACCCAGCTTCTTAACTGCTTATCCAGCTCAGTTTCACCAGGAGGCTGGAGCCTCTCCCAGTCTGCACTCTGGAATGGGATTGTAAATGATTGCCTTTAAGACACACTCTACGCACCTGGCTTTAAATATAGCATAGAATCATACAAACTGTGAATATAGTATTGCGTGTTATGAATGTGGTGACTGAGCTGTTTCAACTTCAGTCGCGCATTCAGTCATTTTTAAAATCAGGTTTTTTCCAACGCGTTACGTCCTCGAGTTCACACTGTATCAACCAGGTTGGTTAATGAGTTTCCCAAGCATCGAAGATCTGTCACAGAACTGGAGAAATATCTCATTTTCATTTAAAAAAAAAACAAAAAACATTACCACACAGTTACCACTCAAAGTCCAAATGTTTGAATGTGGTTTTGTCTGCTAACGATGATGTTTGTATGACTAGTGAAATGAAACAGAATGTGTCTGAAATGTGTGCTAATTTAAATGTAATATAATTTTATATCATGGGAACAAAATTATCTGTTTTTCAAGAAATAAAATAAAATGTTAAATTGTTTGTCTTCTCAGATCATTTAATGAAGTACACAAGTTCTCCTGGGGGTAGATTTTGGGTGAAGTTTCCATCCCTTTATTTTGTGCCACTTAACCAGGAACTGAGAAGTGGCTAACCCAGTCAGTCTAACCCCAAAAGGCACTCCTGTAAATACATTTGTACAGAATTTCATTTATTTATTCATTTATGGGCCAAATTGTGTGTGTGTGTGGTGGGGGGGGGGGGGGGGGATAAGCACTTGAATTCAATAGCTTTTCATCATGTCTCTTATGTGACCGTTTTAAGTAAAATCCGTTTGAAATATAAACTCAAATGCACGTAAAATAATTATAAGTTTCGTTCTTTCGCGATCAAAAATTCGACGTTTGATTGAGCGGGACTTGAACGTAAATCCCGTTGACGTCGGCGTAGGTGAGCGTTGCTTTCAAGTGCTAAAGAACAATAAAACAAATAAGTTAGTAACTACTACTACACTCCTACATATAAGATTAATATTTTATTCTGTCACATTAGATCCCAGTACTGCAATTCAATCGCCATAAACTGTATTTATAAACACATTCCTATAATATTCCAATTACTTCTACGTCGTTAGGTTTTTGTAAGTGTCGTGTGTTTAATTTGGTTAAAGTACACGGTTTGTTTGTGATCAGTTGTTTAGAAATTTGACTGTAGCCCTTCGTGGTCCAGTCATTTGTGTAGACTTGCACAATTTACAGAAGAGGAAGAAGATACTAAAAGAAGAACAAACTATCTCGTGGCGATGTGAGACGCTGCGGTAGCACGTGAACGCAGCACGACTATAGAGTCAGCCGATAAATAAAAGCTGTCAGTCGGCAACAGCAGCAACAATGAGTGGGAAACTCTGCTTTAAACACTAAAAGTGTCTCATCTTCGGAGTATGTGACATTGCTGAATTTAACAGTGTCGGTATTATTAGTATGAAGAATAAAACGAAGCCAGAGTTTTGGAAAACGTTCAAATTCCAAACCACGTCAACTCATCTGTCGTGGCACCTACGGGAGTCTGAGTGTGGACACAAAGAGAGCGACAGAGATTTAAAATATCAGGTGAAAACTTCTCTTTTAGCCGCTTGTACTCTCATATTTTGAGTGAATTATTGAAATATTAGTACTGGTGCTGTTAAGCAAACGCTAGCTTTGCTGTTAGCCTGAGGCTACTTAAACTGCTAACTTCGGTTAGCCAAACTCACGTCTTTCTCGCACCCTGAAAATTATTTTCGCTTGTTTGTGTGTTTTACCCTGGTGTCAGTTGTTTGCACTACCGCGCCAGTGTTTTTAATAACATGCCGTGATTGTCTGATCTAACGGTGGATTAATCACGCCATGGAAGATGCGTCGTCGAAAAGATCTGTGTGCTTATCTGTAAAAGAAGGAGGGATCATAAACTTTTCTTTAATGCACGGCACTGCCAGATGGATCACGTATATGTTAAATATAGTAAAAGACTTAAATATAGTAGCTGACGAGTCCCGAGTCTTGTTTATTAAAAACATTTTACCAGTAAGGACCATAGACTTAAATATGGCATTTATTAAATTAGGTTTGGTGTGTTTTGATATTACTATGGTACTAATCTTTATGGTGTAATAAATTACATGATTTTGGTTGTTATTTATAGTTGTTTGATAGTTTTTATTTCTAATATACAGGGATGTGAAGGACTGTGCTCCCTGAGCCTGTTGGATGTTGCACTATAGGCCTGCATGCTCTTCGAGTACATGATGTTTTCTATAAGCCTGAGGCGGATTTTTCTATTTCGGTGTTTGTGGGTAAATGAGGACAAGAGGGTGTATAGATGTCCTTCAAATGTTGCTACTTTTTCGCTAAGGCAGTCATGCTGATGCAGCCTGGAAACTATAAACACACTGTGTAGATCTGATATTTAATAACAGTGTTTTGGAGGTAGCTCATGTGAATTGTGAGTCTGGTTGAGGCTCGGCATAATTTATTTGTATTGTTAGGCAGAGCTGCTCTGCAGTCATGAGGTATTTTAATGGAGAGAAGCAACAGATTAGCAAGGTACAAAATACAGAAAGCAAGAGCTAATAATAATTTTGAGCATCATGTACCCCACAAAGTAACAACGCTATGATTTGTTCTTCTGAGTGATGGCTTCTGGAACAAAGCTATTTTTAAACATTGTTGTTTTACACAAAATCATCATCAAGAAGGAAGAAACTGAAACTTACAATGGAAAGGGTACAATTCCTCAAGAAAAATTAAATCGGCAAACCACTGTAAGTGTCTGGTGTTCAGGGATGCTGTGGTTCACCAGTCAGCATGTTGGACCACTTCTGTCCTTTACAAACCTCGAGCCAAGAAAAGGATAAAGCAGATTGCAATAAGAGCACATTAAAATAAAGTCATAATGATTCTATCAGTGTAGAAATGATAAAGCTTTCTTAGTTTGCTTTGAAATTCAGCTATTTTTCCAAGATATTTATAACACTGAACATGTTCCACCATCTGACCCTTAATGGATGTGACCTATTGCACATGAGTGCATTTCTTCGAGTCAGTGACATATCTTAGATATGTTTAATTAAAGGTGCAACTCGTCGTCATCCTGGAGCGGACTGACAATAACTGAGTCGTCTGCACTCTCTAAAATGACCCTGATCTCAGATCTGCTTTGATCAATATTTGTGTACAGGATAAAAAGATAAATATGGAGCCAACCAGACAGACTCTTTCAGTAAAAAAAAAAAATCAATAATTCAGATTTTTATTGTAATCAAACTGTTCTAAAGGCTTTCTGATTCAAATATGAGGCTCAATTGTATTGAAGAAAAATCAACAAGCAGTAATCGTGCATGAGCATCTTTTCCCTCCAGCTGTTTAATAACCAGGTTCAACAATGTGCCATTATCCACTCCTGTGTGTGGAAAACTGCATGGGGGTAGGCGCTTGCTCAGTTTGGCTTAAAATCTCTGACTTCACCAGTTGTTCAGCTCAGCAATGCCAGTTTTTCTCTGACAGGCTTTCTTACAGAATGGACTCAGACTGCCTCCCTGCATCCGCAGACTCCCTGCTGTTTGATCCGGTTCCTGTTCATGGAGCCTCGGGGGTTGAGGTCAGCAGTCTGGCTGCAGCAGCTCTGCCAGGTTCAGAGGCAGAGGATCTGGATTCGTACAATCCGATCGAGCCTCCACCCTTAGACTGGAGGTCAGACACCTCTAGCGAAGCTGGTTCAGCAGACGATCTGGATGATGCCAGCCTTCCCACCTCAGCTGACTGTCTCGACAAGGCAGGTCTGGGTGAGTCAGTATCGCTTCCTTTGGTTGAGAGAGACATTTTGACTCCAGTCGACGTGAACCAGCTGGATCTTGTAGGAAACGTTAAACAGCCTGCTGAGGATGTCGAGGCGAAATCGACAGACGAGGCTGAAGCAGGTGCGGGACTATTGAGGGCTGAGGGCTTTAAGGACGCAGAGGAAGATCAAGCAGTGGTGACATTGGGGGATGTTGAGAACAAGAGAGGTGAAGAGGAGGCTGCTGAAAGGAGATCAAATGATGAAGACCATATGCATATCCACACCCTGCTCAGTCAGCTCCAACTAATGGAGGAAGAGCCGCATCCCAGTCATCGGATGCCATCAAATCATCATTACTCCAGGCGGTCTGAGCTGGAAGCATGTGCTCCTTCTTCAATAAAAGAGGACAGCGCTGAAACCAAAGGGCTGCTCTTCTCTGAAAGCCACCAGAGAGACCTGCTGGGGATGCTGCAGTGCACAGAGATAGGCGCTACACCCCGTCCTACCTCTCTGCCGCACAGAGGGGACGTGGACGCTGTGGTGTCAGTTTCCTACAGTCGGGAGGATGCACAGAGGTTCTGGAGGCATCACGGGAATGGTCAACAACAACGGCACAGGGATGACTCCCTCACTTCACTGCCTGATGATGAGTATCCCGAGCCAGTGTGGATGAAGCTGGGAGAGCAGCCTCCAGAGGAAGAAGCTACTGCAGAGAGCGAGCAGGTTGGTGGTGTTACTAAAACTAATAATAAGGGTGGAGACGTTTGGTCATCCATCGTTTTTGGTCTCTTAGCAACACTAAAGTGATAATCAGAATACTTTTTTTTTCCTACCACCAGCTAACCCATCACTGAACTTATCTGAAGCACTTTTAGTTTTTCAGGGACTTAAATTCACTAATTTGCTGTGCGTGCCTCCTTTGCAGAGTGCTGATGACCAGCCTTCATATAAAGATGGTGAGTCACTTCAGTGTGCTTCTTTTTTATTATTATTATTATCATTATTATTATTATTCACTGAAATTTGACATTTGTCAAATATCTAATGTAATATGTGCTAATGTTTTAGTGCCTGGTCCTTGTGATCCTGAAGACCTTTTGGATGGAGTGATTTTTGGTGCCAAGTATCTTGGCTCCACTCAGATCAAATCAGAGAAGAACCCGTCTACAAACGCTCGTATGGCCCAGGCTCAGGAGGCTGTGGACCGAATAAAGGTGCTTTAAAAACAAATTAACCAAATATGCACCTTTTATCATGATACGGCTGTGCAATGCATTGGTTGATGATGTTAAATCTGGTTTTATAGTTGCAGTGAAGGATTTTTTTTCTCTTTCTAAACTGTTTTAAAGTAGGTGGGATGTCATTGTTAAGTTAAGGATAGACATGTGGTGTACCTGTCCTCTAAGGTTAAATATGAGAGTGTTTTCTGTGGTTCTTTTAGGCTCCAGAAGGAGAGTCCCAACCAATGACAGAAGTGGATCTGTTCATTTCTACTCAAAGAATCAAAGTGCTCACTACTGACACGCAGGTACTGCACTCATCTGACCACATACATTCATTTTCCTCTCTTGTATCTCCTCATATCATTAGACCTCACTTCTCTCTAAGACTGTAGACCTACCTGGGGCCTACCAGGCTCCTGTTCTGTGGAATTAGCACCCAGTTTGGATTCGAGAGAGAGAAACAGGCTTTAAACTGTTAAAGCTCATAGTTTGATGATGGATCAGGTGACCCCGAACCATCCCTTAGTTAACGCTGCTGATGCACTAAGCATTTTCCTCTCGCCTCCTGTCACTCCTGTTTATACATCACTACTGCATGCCATTAGTTTTGTCTTCTGTCTCTCTGTTTCGTTCTGGTTTGGCCGCCCCTTCTTGAGCATTGTTCTGTCAGAGGAGGTCTCTTCCTGGTAAAAGGGATTTTTTCATTCCCAGTGTCGCCAAGGGGATCATCAGATTGTTGGGGTTCCACCCTAAATCTGCACAGTCTTTAACTTATAGCATAAAGCATTTGGGGAAAAATAGTGTCACTTAACATTTTACACAATAATTAAGTAATAGTTTTATATATTGTACGTATCATGCAAGAAATGTCTCTGGTAGCACTAAAATCCGATAATGGATTTCAGCGAAAGCTCAGTTGATTCCTGGCTTCTTTGGTGTTTTTGGCTTCATGGAACATGTAGACAAAAACCTAAATGTACTCTGAGAGAATGAACTTTAGCTAAATGTGTTAAAAAGTTGTCAGACTCGAGGTTAGATCTGTAAACATCTGAAAACATACCCAACACAGCTGGTGACTTTTTATTACACAAAGCAGCATTGCACTCCTTAATGTTCATATTCAAGCTGAGCTCTCGCTGCAGGAATCCTTAATATAGAATTGGGTGGTGATTTAATATGAGGCCTCTAGTAGAAGCAATTTTTTTTCTACTGAATTGTTAGGAGAGTAGAAGTAGGTCATCTACTGTCATTGCTCCATTTGCATTTGCTCCTTTCTGCAGTGATGGATGTGAAGATGAATGGTTTTCTTATTCAGTGTTTTTACTTCCAAGCGATATATGTTTATTATCCAAAGTTGTCATTTAGGACACAGATGAGGCATAAAAAGTAAAAGTAAAATGAAAATTGCATTTATAAATTACTTTAATGTAAAACAAAGACAAATATTTGTGGAAATTGCCCTTCTGATTCACGTAAAAAACGCTCCACCAGCTTCCATGTTAACAAACAACAGTCTTTACTTTCATTTTTTCAGAATTCTCATCCAAGTTAGTTTCGGTTCTGAATTAATCTTATGCGCCTGGTTTGTGGTTTGCCTTCGGTCTGTATGTTTGTCTGCTAGGTCAGTGGTTTGGTACATTAACTTGATACAAACCATATTTGGCCTGGAGAAATGGTTTTGATGAGGTGAGGGTGCACAGACAATCCTGCTTTGCTTGAAGACACAGAGTGAGGAACTTCCTTAATTTCAAATTTACTTTGATAAAGGCCTGGGCTTCCCTTTGGGATGTGCTCTCTCAAACACACCAATCTTTATCATATAATTCCTGTAGTTCTGTAAAAATGTCTTTAACAAGAGAGGCTTCTAAGAGGAAAAATGTTAAGTAATACCTATCTGCAGGAGGTTTAAACTCTATGCTGGTTCCAAACCAGACCTTCGTGCTCCCTCTCCGTCTTTGTTTCTTATCGTAACCACCGTCACGTCCTGTTTGCAGGAAGCCATGATGGATCACGCTCTGCAGATGATCTCTTACATCGCTGACATCGACAACATCGTGGTCTTGATGGCACGAAGGAAACGTAAAGGGCAAGATGGTGACAATGACCCAAACTCTTCGTCATCATCCGCGAAGAAGTGCTTGATGATCTGCCATGTGTTCTCCTCTGAGGATGTGAGTCAGTAAACTGGAGGGTTTTTTAATGGTGTTCATATACTAAAAGTGTGCAATCAGCATGATGCTTTCCTTCTTAGCACTCATATTTTGATTTCTGGATTCCAAGCAGAGCTTTTCAGGAAGCTTGGTTGCTGGCCAAACGGCTCATTTACAAGTCCAGCAAGGCCTCATTGTTATATTGGTCTTTCATTTCTAACTACACAGTTTTGCTGCATGGTTACTGCATGTTTAAACTCATTAAGCATGCAGTAAATAAGGTACATGGTGAAATATATGGCATTAAAATGTGTCTAAGATCGCTAAAATTGACATTGGACTCTCCCAGAGCCCCTCTGAACTCTTCCAGATTTCCTAGTCACAGACTTTTGCCCACAGACTGGTTACCGCATGTCCTTGCGGAACACCCTCACTCAAACAGCAGTGCAGTATAATGTAAATAGATGTAGCGTTCAGTATCTTGGCATCTCCCGCCCTGCACGCTCTTGCATCTCTTATTAAATTGCCAAGTCGGTTGCTGACAGCAGTTTCAGCTTCAGCTTGGCTGACCTGGTTTCCTTCCTCAGACAACCACTGAGTTCTCCTCAATGTCAAAACCGTCTGGCTCTCGTCCCAGTTTCCCACAGTTGGCAACACTGAATGGGAGGAAGAGCTTCCTTTAGAAGCTAATTAGCTCTGGGATGCTGAAGGCTGTGACCGCGTCTGCTCAGAGCTTTTTCAAACTGAGCTCATTTAACATGTTTAAGATCATTTCAAAATACAGCAGATGCTATATGTGTGTGTAGCAAGAACATCACAGAGAAATTCAGATAAAATGCATTAAAGAGAGTGTTTTGTGTTCATGCTCTAGTATCAAGTTGTATGACCCTTTGGCTGCTTGTCTTTACAAACGAACACATTTGCTTTGATTTGTTAGTATTTAAATGGAGGATTAAGGAAAAGTCTAGGGAAAAAATTTGTTTAACAAATGCCCCTAGCATTTAAATGTAGAGTAGACACGACTGTAACAACAGTGCTGAACCCTGATTCAGTTTTGTCTGTGTCTCCTCCTGTTTGCAGGCTCAGATCATAGCCCAGGCTATCGGGCAGGCGTTTGGAGTGGCTTACCAGCAGTTCCTCCAGGCCAACGGCATCAAGGCCAGCGATCTGAGGCCCGGCGAGTACAGCGACTACCTGGAAAGTCAGGAACTCTACAACGGAGACTTGGCCCACTTCTCTGACTCTCAAAACCTCAGAGAAGTAAGCAGGAGGGATTGTGGTTGCAAGGCCACCCACACAAAATACAGCTGACCTATAATTTTGGCTTGTGTAGTTAAAGGACTAACCAAGGCAACACACAGAGCAAATTAAAGGTGCAGGCAGGGTGGAGCAGGTGGAGACGAGTCTCGGGGCTGATTTTTGACAGGAGGATAGCAGCATGAGTAAAGTAGCACAGAGGTAGATTTGGCAAATTTGCAAATACCTGTTTGGACAGGTATTTTCAACACAAGAGTCAGAACCGTGCAAGATGCATTCACAAATCTTTAAAGGTGTGCAGCAGAGTTTTAAAGCAAAGACTGGGTTTGTGGGTGATTATGGTCTGACAGCTTGTGATGATCCCATCACAAGATGGTCTGCAGTTTGCTTCAGACTTCACACTTCAAAGTGTGTGTTTTATATATGCACAGCTGTTTGTTATTTATATTATCTGCACCTCATCCATTATTTCCTTATCTCGTCATGTTGTTTAGATGTGTGCAGGGGCTTTCCTTTAGTGGTTCTAAGTATTAATAGAAGGTGTTGCAGGAGAGGAAAAAAAACAAGCCAAAAAAAAAAAAAACGAGCTCGGATTAAAATAACCACTGATATATTACAAGTCTCTCTGTGTCTGTGGATCAGGTAATCATGACCAAGGCTCCGGGGGAGATCTTGGGACTGGCGGTGGTGGAGTCGGGCTGGGGCTCTATCCTCCCCACAGTGGTGGTGGCCAACCTCCTCCACGGAGGCCCGGCTGAACGCTGTGGTGAGCTCAGCATCGGGGACCGCATCATGTCCATCAACGGGACAAGCCTCGTGGGTCTGCCCATCACCACCTGCCAGAACATCATCCGCGTAAGTAGGACACACAATGACACAAACTTCAAATTTCAGTGGTCATAATAAAGATGAGAAGAAAGGCATCAACAACAACAAAAGAAACATATTGTGCTGCAGATTAAATGCCTTTACTGTGCTGTATATGCAAGTTAGGATCACCAGGTGGCACTGTGGGTCCACACAGGACCAACATTAGCATCTGTCAACTTAAACTGTTAAAGCAAAACTTGCTGCTGATGTTCAGTGTTTCAAACATTTTCGTTGTTTCGAGTTGACAGAAGTTTATACCTTTACCAAACACTTAATCAAAGACACAATACGATAGTTACTTAATACTGTGCAGTTTATCAACTTTAGTTTCATTTATCATTTTGGCCTCCACTGATCATTAAACTAAAGTAATATGCAGGTTGCCCCGCAGAGGAATAGGAC